ATCATATCAATTGTCCATGCAGCATGGGAAACTGTATCCTTCATACTTGTTCAACAACGCTTATCATACTCCTGCTATGTGCTGAACCAGAAGCCTAGTGGTTCAAACCCACCAGCCACTCCTTAGAAGGAAGGCTGGGCTATCTACTTCCATAGTGAAACCACCTCAGAAACCCAAGGAGGGGTCACTATGAGTCGGCTCTGTCTCAATGGCGTGCATTTTTTGTGCTGGGCTGGGTTGAGTCTGGGGATATAGAATGAATTTAAACATGGAACTAGAGAGTAATTCCATAGTCCTCAAGTGTAGGTCGCACATACTGGCTGCCTCCTAAAATTGCAGTATGGGAAGGGAGGCGGGGAATAACTTTTCAGTGGAGAACCTTAATCAACATTATCTCAGCCAGGTGATCAAGGTCAACATCAACAGTGAAAAGTGAGGTTTATAGTATGGACCCTTGATGATCATGAGAATGGCACTGTAGCCCTATGGTCATCCTGCCACTGTTGCTGTTGTTATTAGCTGCTGTCAAGTTGGTGCCCAATTCATGGCCAACACATGCACAAGGGAACGAACTGCTGCCTGGTCCCGGGCCAGCCCTGTGATCAACTGCAGATTGAACCACTGTGAGTCACAAGGTCTTCACCGACTGATTTCCAGAAGTAGATCAGCAGGCCTTCCTTCCTAGTCTGTCTTTGCCTAGAAGCTCTGCTGAAACCTACTTGGTATCATAGCAACTCAAGTCTACACTGACTGGTGGGTGGGGGCTTCGCATGAGGTACATTGGCCGAGAATCAAACTTAGGTCTCCCCATGGAAGGCGAGAATTCTACCACTGAACCATCAGTGCCTCAGAAACAAAACATCTGATCAGTACTCATCAAACTGCTAAGGTCATCAGAAACAAAGAAAACCTGAGAAACTGCCACAGCCAAGCAGAGCCTAAGGAGACATGACTCTAATGTGATGTAATATTCTAAATGGGATCCCAGGGCAGAAAAAAGACAATAGGCAAAATTAAGTAAAAAACTAAGCAAGTCTGAACAAAGTATGAACTTTAGTTAATACTGTCAATATTAGTTCTTTAATTGTGGCAAATTTACCATACTAATTGTCACAAATATACCATACTAAAATATCAGCAAGTGCAGAAATTGGGTGTGGGGTACATGGGAACTCTGAACTATTTCACAACTTTTCTATAAATCTAAAACTATTCTGTATTTAAAAGTTCATTTTAAAACACTGGAGCCAGACTTCACAGATGTCAATGAGGGAGAAAGACAAGTAAATAAGGACGTGCCACTCTGAGGGAGAAAGATGAGGCAGTCCACTTCCATAAAGATTTATAGCCTTGGAAACCCCATGGGGCAGTTCTACTCTATCCTATAGGTTCGCGGTGAGTTAGAATCAACTTGATGGCAGTAGGTTTGGGTTGCTTTTTATTTGTGCATAAGACTTTCTTAATTTATAAGGCATTTTCCCATGTATTATTTCATGTGATTCTAACAAAAACTTTGTGAGGCAGGCAGAACAATTATTAATAAACTCATTAGACATATGAAAGAGTGGGTAGTCAGAGGCTTTAAACCGTCTGCTAAGGCTGTACTCAGCAGTGATGGAGCTGGGATCAGAAGCTACACACTCAGGCTCTTGGACCTGTGCTTGTTTTCATTAATGCCTGGCACCTAGGTGTAAACAGTAAGCAGACCTAGATAACAGGTGATCTACTTCTGTAGTAATACTACCTGGGAAACCCAAGGAGGGGTCGCTCTAAGTTGAATCCACTCGAGGGAAGTGAGTTTGGTTTGGTTTTTGGTTAAAGAAGGCTCAGTGCTAATAATGAAATGCCTAATATTTACCTTAATCACAAAAGGCATATATATGAAAGTTTACATATTCAATTTTCCATTATCATCCCTGCATAAAGTGAAGAATGGCTATTACTACATAATAGCCATGGACCATCAACAATTACATAAGTAACAGCCATCCTTCACCTCATACAGTGGTGATAACAGAAAACTGAATATGTAAACTTTCATATATATGCCTTTTGAGAGAAAGAGAGAGAGAGAAAGAAACGTAAAAGTATAGGAGCTCTTTAGTTTGACCTTAAGTTAGATATTCTTTGTCTAGAAATGAGGGAAATTAAGCAGGTAATATGTATATCTTTAAAAAAAAAAAAAAAAACTACACGTTTGCATCACTCTGTTCTGTTCTGACATGGCTGAATAGCAAAGGAAGTACAAAATAATGTTACTGAAACCAAGCACTAAAACTTGTGAGAAATGGAGTAGTCTAAATTTATATAGTCTAAAAACATGACTCAAAGAGACATAATCACAGCCTATAAATAGCCTCCAAGCAGCAATATGTGGTAAATAAAGTAAGTGAACTATTCACAACCTTACGTCCAGGTCATTTCTCTTTGTCCAGCTGTCTAAGCAAGACAATGCTTTAGATCTGAGCTGCTGTCATGCTCAGAGATTAAAACAGCTGAGAGACTCTAAAGGCCGGCTGATGCTGGAGATACCCAGGTGTAGAAGATTTTCTGGGAATGGTCTCCTTGGACTGTGCACATTTTTAGGAACTAGACTGGATAGCCATATCACTCACACAGTATGGTCATTTCTCCTTCAAATTTGATAAGGAATAATAGAGAACAGACCCAAAGACAATAAAATAAGGTTAGTCACTGGCTCACCTGATGGGAAGAACAAGTGAATGCTGAAGTGGACTGTCAACCAAACCAAAAAAACCAAACTCACTGCCATCGAGTTGATTCTGACTCATAGTGACCCCCATTGGGTTTCTGAGGTGGTAAATCTTTATGGAAGTAGATTACCCCATTTTCCTTCTATGGAGTGGCTGTTGGGTTTGAACCGCCAATCTTCTGATTAGCAGTCAAATGCATTAGGCACTATGCCACCAGAGCTCCTTGGACCATCAGCAATCGAGTATAAATATAGGTGTTCTGCTTTGATAATCAGGAGATACCTTGGTACCTAATTTCATGAAAACCATACAAGATTGCAAAGTCACTGTATCAGGATATTCATGTCAAACCTGTCACTGACACAGTTGTTTTAGTTTTCTTGTCATTGTAAGGTGATATTTCTCTTACTTTGTATATCACATTTTAGACACCAAGCATTTTTAAATATCACTGAGAGCTGTGAAAAAATGCAAATTATCACTAATTATTATCATTATTATTGTTTTCTCAGAAGCTATGCTTCAAAAAAGGAGCTCCAGTGGTGCAGTGGTTAAAGTAGTTGGCTGCTAACCAATGGTCAGTGGTTTGGACCCACCATGGGAGAAAGATGAGGCAGTCTGCTTCCATAAAGATGTACAGCCTTGGAAACCCTATGGGGCAGTTCTACTCTGTCCTATAGGTTCGCTATGTGGCAGAATCTACTTGATGGCAGTGAATTTGGCTTTCTGTTTGGTTTATGCTTCAAAAAAGTCATTCTTCACAAATGTGTCCCATGTTTTTCTGACTTTTAAACATCTTTAAGTTTTCTATAACAATCTCATTATCTCTATAAGTCACAAGTCATTTCAAAAGCCTATCTAGTACTAGCACTTAAAGCAGCTTAAGTTGTTTGAATGTCAGCAGAGATGACACTAGACAGGTCCTTGCTGGGTTCACAACAGCCCTCTGCAGATGATATTGAAAATATCAGGAGCACGGCAAATAGAGCACACTCAATCCATCCAGAGAGATATCCAAATCCAAGCAATTTTTTCCATTGTCTCCTCAGGCACAATTCCTTCGCACCAAGTAGAGGTGCTGCCCACATTTAGTTTCACTCGGCTTCATTTCTCATGCAGAGATGGAGAAGCAAGGAAGAGAAGCAACATAGACCATTTGACAAGTAGTGATTTAGTCCAACGGGGACTAAAGAACAAGTTCCTTGTTAACACCTAACAGAGACCCTGAGTTGTGTCTAGTTGGTATTTTAGGGTCAAATCACCATTTACTGCATGGCATGGATTGTAAAGTGTCAATGAAATAAAAGGCTGAAGTGTTCACTAATGGCTACTTGCCATGATTCCAGCTGGTCAGCTCTATGAACCAGTTGGAACAAAGAGTGCCCAGAGTAGAGTGTCAACCACAAAAAGACAACTGTGTTCTATGAAAGCCTCTGGGCCTTGCTTTTAGGATCATAATGATGGTAGCCCAGTGCTTCTCGAATGGGGCAGCCCAGGACTACTACAATTGAAATGGGGTCTCTGTGATAATATCACCTACAAGGTATACTACAGAGAGATACCTAACAGACCTTCAATAAATGCCTATAAAATAAAGGCAGAAGGTCATACAGTATTCCCGTTCCACACACATAAACAGTGAAAAAAGAAAAAAAACTCACTGCTGTGGAGTGGAATCTGACTCACAGTGACCTCTCCTTGGGTTTCCAAGGTGGGGTTTATAGAAAACACAAATCCTGATGCAGGTGTTACCTATGCTAACATCCTACAAGGAGAAATTAGCAGAGCTTCAGTCTCTATAGAATGTCTTCCTGAGCTGGTGGAATTTGCTAGACCTGCAATATTAACATAGAATTATGGAAATTGGAAACAAAAAGCTGGGGTCTACTGGGAACGATGGGCTCAAGATGAACTCAACTGGAAAATTTGGCTAACTCAAAGTGACATTCTTTGTGCTGAAATTTATTTTCTCATTGCTCTGTACCTTTCCTCCACGTGAACCCAGGCATTTGCCAAGCACTGAAGTGGTAAATTCATATTGGCTTCATACACATACCATTTCCAGGGAATGGTAAGCAACCCAACTTTTGAATCCTCTATGCCAAGAAAAACAAAGAAATATTTGTCCATTGAAACTGTTTTCTTGTGCACAGGCTCCAAATACCTGAGCACTGCTAAATCACTCCTCTAAGAGGAAAAGGTTGATGAAAGCCAATGCATAATCTCTTTGCAAGTTAGTGCTTTTGCACCACGTTGAAGGCAAGGAACATAAGACCTCAGACTTACCTTGTAGCTTTTGGGTCCCAAATCACAATGTCAGCATCTGATCCTACAGCTATTCTTCCTTTTCTTGGATAGAGATTAAAGATTTTAGCTGCATTTGCACTGGTAACGGCCACAAATCGGTTTTCATCCATTTTACCACTATGCTGTAAAACAATTTGTCTCAGTTATCCAGTGCTGCTATAAATACCACCAAGTGGACGGTTTGAACAAATGGAAATTTATTCTCTCACAGTTTAGGAGGCTAGAAATCTGAATTCAGGGTGCTGACTTTAGGGAAGGCTCTCTCTCTGGGCTTCGGCGAAGGTCCTTATTCCTTGGCTCTTCGGTGATCTGCATGTGCTTTGGCGCATCTGTCTCCCCGTCTCTGCTTCAGGCTTGTTGGTTTAATCTCTTTCTATCTCAAAAGAGATTGACTCAAGATACACCCTACACTAATCCTGCTTCATTAATATAAAAAATAGAACTCATTCCCAAATGGGATTACAACCACAGGCACAGAGGTTAGGATTTACAACACTTATTTTTTGGAGACACATCAACCCATAACACAACTGAAAGAAGAAGATGCATTTGTTCTAATGATCAAATAAATAAATATATCCTATCAATCTGACTCATGGCGACCCCTCCTTGGGTTTCCGAGGCAGTATCACTATGGAAGTAGATTGTCTAACCTTCCTTCTGAGGAGTAGCTGCTGGGTTTGAACCACCAGCTTTCTGGTTAGCAGCCAAATGCCTTAGGCATTATGCCACCAGAGCTCCTGTTTGGTTTTTTTTTTTTTTTGGTCATCAATAAAAGCAGAAGACTTACATCTCTTAGAACCAAACCGATCTGCACCTAATTTCTTATGCTATGGAGGCAAACACATTTGTGTATGCTGAAACATCTTCAACAATCATTATGATGATGATGATGATGATGATGATGATGTGGTACCATATGGAAGCCTGGAGATGATTTCTCAAAAACCTATCAGCTTGAAAAAGCACCCCTATCATGTCTGCCAGAATGGGTGACAGCTGAATGCTGGCAACAATGTTTTCAAGTCTTACTTGAATTTGACCACAGTCACCTACTACATTTATGATCTGGCTTATTAACTGCAGACTCAAGATTTACGAGATAATTATATAGACACTAATTAGAATATTATAGAGTTAAAATTAGATCGACCTTTAAATCAGGTGATAACACCTTTAGAAAGAGGAAAAAACAACTCAAGAGGTTCAATTTTGTGCAACTGAAATTTACACGAATCAATCATGGACAGTCTATTGCAAGAGATTTTAATTTGGACAGAGTTTGAAAGAATGTGACCCCTCTAAAATGAGAAATAAAAAACTGAGGGTGTATACCTATGTAAATTTATCTGGTGAGAGCATCTTTAAGGTTTACTCGGATACCAGAGCTTTTCTGTCTCAAAAAGATTAAGAACCATGGCCTGAAAGGAATAGTCCCAAAACTAAACCATCTTAATGTTTCAGAAAGTAACATGCTTCCCTAAGTGCCATTAAGAAATAGTCAATCACTTTGAGGCCATTATATACTTGGTTGGTTGGTTGGTATGTGCCCTCGAGTCTGACCCAACTCATAGCAACCCCTCCTTGGGTTTCCAAGGGAGTATCACTACGGAAGTAGATTGCCCAACCTTGGGAACTATAATAGATTATGATCGGCAATAATGAAGACACTTACTGTAACAACACAAGTTCAAAGAGATAAACTGAACTGCTACCAGGAAATCTAAACTAAGAGAAGAGAAGCTGTCTGGGCCAGTTAGAGTTAGGATGGAGGAGATGGGGGTTAAAAAGATGTTAGCAGAAGACAGGGCTAGAGAGATGTTTTGAAAACTCTTATATGTAAATTGATTATTCAAATATTAACCTATAAATAGTGGAGAAAATTAAAGGTTTTAGAGAGGAAAGTTCTATGAACACAACATTGTATTTGAAAGGTCTCTCTGGTATTAGAGTATTGAATAAATTGCAGCAATGAGAGACTGGATACAAGGACACCAGTTATGAGACTACTGCAATAGTCCAAACAAAATATGGGCCTCAACTAGAATGGTCGTCATGCAGATGGAAATAAGGAGGTATTTGGGAAATGAAATTAACTGGAGTTTGGGCAAGTGGTACATGTAGAGGAAAAGTGACCACAGAGGATTCTGAGGTCTGACATACTTTTATGTGCTATCCAAGGGAGAAGATGGAAGACAGAAGAAATACACAAAGTCATTGTACTGAAAAGAATCGGTCAATATTCATCCATTTCAAGAGATGACATGCGATCAAGAACCAATGATATTGAAGGAAGAAATTGAAGCTGCACTGAAGGAAGTGGCAAAAAACAAGGCTCTGGGAATTGATAGAATATCCATTGAGGTGTTTCAACAAATATATGCTGAGCAAATAATCCGAGAAGCTGGACTATATGAAGAACCATGCGGCATCAGGACTGGAGAAAGGCTCATTAACAACCTACGATACACAGATGACACAACCTTACTTGCTGAAAGTGAAGATGACTTGAAGCAGTTACCGATGAAGATTAAAGACTACAGTCTGCAGTATGGATTACACTTCAACGTAAAAAAACCAAAAATCCTCACAACTGGACCAATAAGCAGCATCACGACAAATGGAGAAAAGACTGACGTTGTCAAAGATTTCATATTACTTGTTTCCACAATCAACACCCGTGGAAGCAGCAATCAGGAAATCAGACGTCATACAGAACTGGGCACACGTGCTGCAAAGACCTCTTTAAAATGCTGAAATCTCTTTGAAGACTAAGGTGTGCTTAACTCAAGCCATAGTATTTTCAATTGCCTCATATGCATGTGAAAGCTTGACAGTAAGAAAGACCAAAGAAGAGCTGATGTGTTTGAGTTGTGGTGTTGTGGGAGAGTACTGAAAGTACCATGGATTGCCAGAAGAACTAACATGTCTGTCCTGGAAGAAGTCTAACAAATCTGTCCTGGAAGAAGTGCAGCCGGAATGCTCCTTGGAAGCAAGAATGGCACAACTTTGTCTCACCTACTCCGGTCATGTTGTCAGAAGGGACCATTCTCTGGAGAAGGATATCATGCTTGGTAAAGTGGAGGGTCAGCAAAAAAGGGGAAGGCCCTCAATGAGATGGACTGACCCAGTGTCTGCAATGATGGGCTCAGGTACAGCAAGGATTGTGAGGCTGGTGCACGATTGGGCAGTGTTTTGTTCTGTTGTATATAGGGTCACCATGAGTCACAGATGACCCGACAACACCTAACAATAACAACATCCAAGGGAGAAGTTCCAGGGCATCAGTGCAGAAGGCCTGACAATGAGATCTTCCCTGCTGATCTTTACAACTACATGTCAACTGGCTGGACAGGCAAACCCAGGGCATTTAGCCATTTGATTCTGCTCAGGGAGAAAAGTTTAAATCATGAGCATTTTTAAGTCTCTCTAGATGTTGGATTATTATGTATGTGACCTCATACAGCAGTTTTTAAAATATGATTTCCAAGAGGTTCTTAATGGGGACACTTACAAAGATGTCATGAAAAAGAGGTATGAACATTATAAAAATTATTCAAGTATTTTCTATCAAGTATTTGCTCCAGTGACATGTGACACTTTGAGTTTCAAGGACATGAGAAATCAAGCAGAAGCATTATAGAATTTAAGACGTGAAGAAGAACGTTTTTTGTGCTCAATCCAAATTCACTGCCTAATGTCTCTGCAAAATGCTGCAATGCATCCGCTAAACCACACTATGCAAAGAAGAGAATAACGTCTTTGCTAAAACTGTCCTGGGGAAGAAAGGAAGACAGTGTTGAATTTCCAGCCACCACCCTCACAAAAACAATGAGAAAGCTTCTCTTTGAAGGTTTGAGGGTCCCTGGGTAGTTCAAATGGTTTGCACTTTACTACCAAACTGCAGGTTGGGGTGTTATATCCAACCAGTGGAGCAGCAGAAGACAGTCCTGGTAATCTGCTCCCGTAAAAATTACAGTCAAGAAAGCCCCATGGAGCAGTTCTACTCTAACACACAGGGTTTGCCTGAGTTGGAATGACTACTTGGCAATGGGTTTTCTTGGTTTTGTTTTGAATAAAGATTTATGTCACTTTGGTGATACAATAGTTAGATCCTGGCTGAAGAATCAGGCCAAAGGAGCTGCATCCTATGAAACTTACCACGCCTTTTTCCCATATTACTGACATCCGGTCCTCAACACCATTCACTCCATTGGGAATCTTAGTAAAATCATCCTTCCCAAGAGCTTTCTGGCAGGTGTTGAAGGTGCAGTGGTCAGTCCCTGTGGTGGTTAGATCATTGCTGTAAAGAGAAGGGCACACAAAGGTGGTGGAGATGAGTAGATAAAATAGGTTAGGAGGAAACGTCAACAACATTCTCCAATCTCCTGACTCCCCTTCTCAACTGAAAGTCAGAAAAATGTAACGTAGAGCAAGTAGTTCTTTCAAATATATATTGCACCCCATTCTTGTCTTCATTCTGGGATTTAGTTTCTTCGTCTGCTAAAGTAGTACTTTTAGAGAATGCTCTTAGAAAAACCTCAGTTCTAGGCCCAACTCTATCACTTACTGGTTCTGTGATCATGAGCCTGTTTAAGATTCAGTTTCACTTCTATTAATTGATGATTATACTTACTTGATGAAGATCACTTCAGGATCACTAGCAATAATATATATGAAAGTTCCTTGTGAGTAGCATGCTATACAAAGATATCACTATAGTCCTTCATGTGAAGAGAGGGCAGGTCTACCAGGGCAACCCTCTGGCCAAATGGCAATGTTGCGATGACCAGAGATGGGACATTGGCTGAGGATGTTCATGTTTCCAGGGACAGGACCCCTGCTTTGACTTGTGAATTGTCTTAGAGAAGTAGAAGTGTGAAGGAGGAAAGAAGCTGAAGGGAGGGTCAAGTTAACGCTTGTACAGTCTGTAGCAGAAAAGCCTTTTGTTAACTTGAATCTGAGTATCTGTGAAAGAGGAGAATCAGGATATCCATGAAAGGTAGAATTCTCAAGAAAAGTTGTCAGAGCTTCTCAGAAAGCAACAGAGTTTCCTATACAATAGGCACATCTGGTTCCAGGCTACATCAGTGTAGAAAAAAATCAAGAGTATTCTGATAAAGGCAGGCATAATGAAGAGCCTTAGCTCTGGGCAAGAACAATTAGAAAAGAGAAGGGAAAAATCAGGAGAGTGAAATTTCAGTGAGAACAATGTGAGTTCTCTGTGTCCAGGAGAGGTTTTGACATATCTTCATCAAACCAATGCTTTTTGGTCTGCAGGTATGCAACTCTCCAAGTAGAAGGGCATCCTGGAAGCCAATGAAAACTCCAGATGGTAGACAAGATCTACTCGCACAAATCTGAGACTCATACAGCATCTGATTTTGACAAAACACTTCATCTGAAAAATTATTACTTAGCCAAAAGATTCATGAGGAAATCAGGTGTGGAAGGGTCTGGTCGCAGGGGTGGTCCCATAACATAGTGGGCTGCATGGTGCCATTCTTTATTCCAATAGTGAGTGCCATCTGTGCCAAGACTTGCTGCTATAGGTTCTCCATAGACCACCTTCCCTGGAAAGTTCAAAGGAAGCATTTAACACCTTAATTTGTACTTAAGATAACCATGTGACAAAGACCTAAACATTCATTTTTCTCTGCCCTAGAAAAGCATGCTGTGAATCCCAAACAATAATTTAGTCTTATGAACTGGTTCTAAAAATATCCACTAGTATTGGAGGAGTCCTGATGGCACAGCAGTTAAGCTTTCAACTACTAACCGAAAGGTTTGATGGTTCAAACCCACCCAGAGGTTCTGTGGGAGACAGACCTGGTGATCTGCTTCCATCTTTCCAGAAAAATCTTTTTACAGCCAAGAAAACGCTATGGGGCAGTTCCACTCTGTCACATTATGAGATGGGATCAGCACCCAACAACCACAACAGCATTTACTGAGCATTTATATGTTCCAGTCAATGTGAATGGTACATTGTAGAAGATGATACCATGCACCCCATTGATAGCAAGCTTAGTCACATGACTTACTTTGGCCCTTTTGATATGAACACACGTGACACTGCAGCTTCTAAGCATAAGCTATAAAAGTCATCATGGGGTTCTGCTATCACCCTCTGTTATATAAGACCTGCATGTCCCAGACAGGGATTATCCCTTCAGTTGGGTCCCAGAACGAAGAGGACATGGAGCAGAGCCTGTCAACCCACACTGAACATGAGTATGAATTAAAATGAATCTTTATCGTTATAAGCCATTCACATGTTAGATGTGTTTGTTATCACAGCATAACCTAGCAAAAGTGACTGATACCCATGCCATTCTAATGGAATCTTCCCAAACAACTTAGGGTTAAAAAATTTCCCTGCAGTTACATTACATATGTTCCACATAAATAGAGTGGAGGAGGTAGGATTTAAACCCAGGCATTTTGACTCCGGTGGTCCTAACTATGCTATACCACCCTGATGACTTATGGTCATCCACACAGGTCTAAGCTATATGGAGTTCAATTACAGTACATCTCCACTGCAAATAGATGGACAATCTTTTAACATCCTTAAAAAATTTCTCCTAGGAAAACTCATGTTAAATAAAACAACACTCAAATAATAAAATTGTAGCCAGAAATGCATATTTTAAAAATCATGTAAATGAGGCCGTCAAAAGCACACAATGTTAGAAAAGTTAATAGCACATTTGAATTTAAAATCAGAATCCCATCTCTGATTAGCATTCGTCAGAATAACAGATTCACTAGCATCAACCCAATCCCATGCAGCAGCCAAAGGAGAGAGCATGGTAAGGAGATGCTAGCATACCAATCAGTCCACTCTGGTTCATCAGATGCCAAACTTCAGTTACAGTCCTGATATGTAACTGAAATGCATGGATTTCCTCAGAGACTTCTCAAAGTGCATGGCTACCAGCTGCCTGAGTCATATTAAATTGGAATGTAGCACCCTATTATCTCACAGATAATGTTTTCCCCAAAACTAGCCATCTTCCTTTAGCTAGCCTAGGAATTGGAAAGCTCATGAATTGAGGCTTATTGAAGCCTCAGAAACTTGACTTCTGAAGGAACCAATCTATTCTCCAGGGACTCAGGGCTGCAACTGCAAAGATCCTTCATTTTCATGATGCGCACACACTAGGTGAATTCCATTTCCCTCCTGTTTCTTATCATCCTCTTTCCAAAAAAAGATGCCGCACCATTAGCATCTCTCCTTGGCATACAGAATGAGCAGCATTTCTATTGGAACTGAAAGGCATTGTAGGCGTCCCTGGGTGGTGCAAATGGTTAGGTGCTTGACTACTTGCTGAAAGATAGGTGGTTCGAACCCCAAGTGTGCCAGAGCAGAATTGTCTCAGAAGAAAGGTCTGGCAATCTGTTTCCTTGAAAACCGTATGATGCACAGTTCTGCTCTGCAACACACGGGGTCCCCATGAGTTGGAACTGACTCTGCAGCAACTGGTCCTGGTACTGCCGACCAGGAAGGTAGCAGATGAGCACAGTATTTTCTTTGCAGGTGCAAAGACACCTTCTTGTTCCAAGAGAACTCCTCATAGATGTTTGTACAAGAAGCTCAGACTTGTTTACAAGTTGCCAGCTCAGGATTTTCCCTGGTACTTTATCATAGATAAAAGAGCCTTATCACACGTCCTATTCAATCACTTGGCCCATCTAGGTGATTCGGGAATACTGTTCCCAAAGTTCTACAATGTTAATAGCTCTCAGGAAAAATTAAAAGTGTCAGCATCCACCAGGAGTCTGCCAAGAGAATTTTGAAACCAGACGACAGGTAATTTCCTCAGAAGGGTTTAGCACCTTTAAAATGTGACAGGCCACTTTTCTGGGATATACAATGAGCTCCCGGCTAACTGGGCCATTTTCAACTTTCCCTCCACTAAGCTACTGTAAACATCAAGAATTTTTTTGTTTTTTTTTTTTGGGGGGGGGGTAAAGTAAAAATTCCTGACTGTTCTTCCCCGTTTCATGATGGTTCTAAGACATTTTCAAAGGACAAGAGATCTTACAAGAAGTCAAAAGGGAAGGAGAAATAGGGAGCCTAGATTATCCATAAACTGGGCACTCAGATTGGATCATTCAGCACCACTGTGAATTCTTTTGATGTGAACTAAAAATAAAGTAATAATAAAAACAGGTGAATATAGGCAAACAGACAACGCACTCGGCTGCTGTAATGGAAAGGCTGGAGATCTGAGTCCACCCTCAGGCACCTGGGAAGCAAAGCTGCTTTTATAGAATCAGCCAATTGTGCAGCACAGTTGTATCCTGGCATGCACGGGGCAGCCATGAAGTAGGATCAGCTCAACAGCAACTGGTCCTGGCAGAGTTTGCAAAGCTCTCACAAGCGACCTCATGTGCCCTTCATGGCAACCCTTGTGCTGGTTTGACAGCTGAAGAAACTGATGCTCAATGAGCAGCAACTTGCCAAAGACACATGGGTCGTACGTGGTTCAGCCTGAACTGTCCCAGTATTGTGATAGCACATCCCACGCGCTATGTTACTAGGTGTCTTGTTTCTCCAGGCCTGCTATTACAGAAATGCCACGGGGCTTAATAAACTGGAGTTTATTCTCTTATAGTTTAGGATGCTAGAAGTCCAAATTCAGAGTGCTGGTTATAGAGGCTGGGCGAAGGCCCCTTGACCTTGGGCTTTGGCTCTGCCTCTTCTTCCAGGCCCACTGAGCTGGAGGCTTCTCTTAACTCATGTGGCTGCTAGCTGCTGAGGCTGATGAACCCACGATCGGCATTAGAATGGCACAATCCCAAGACCAACAGGCAACATGGCAGACCACTGTCTCAAGTCTAGGAACAAAGCCAAGATCGACAGGCAACCCAGCAGGCCACTGGTTCAAGTCCAGGAACTGGAGATGAAGCCTTGGCCAAGTGCAGGATCCGAATGCACCAAAAAGCTAGAGACCATCTCAAAGCTTCTCCTTTTACTGGAAGCAGGCCACACCCTAAGAGCAACTACTTAGCTGCTCACAGCAGATTCTACCATGGAGGTGAACACAATCTCATTGCCAGCTGCCTAGCCATCAAAACCACAGCCCAGCCAAGTTGACACATAACATTAAGTACCACACTAGGAAGAGTGCCATTGTTCATTTTCTTGGTAAAGAGCATGTGTTTTAAAATGTTCAGATCAACCACCAGCTATGTGTGGACGTGGCTGAGCGATTTTCCAAAGTCACTGACAGGCCTCATTTACTCTGCTTAATGAAAAGTGCTATCTCTTCCTAGTCTGGGGCTCTCCTGACTACACTCACAACCAGATGGTCTCCACAGCTCTTGGGAGACAGCTACATCTTCATCATTGATCTCTTCCCACTGCCTCAGCAAGTTTCACATTGTGATGCACCCCGTTTATCCACCTACTTTCTCTCCTTTTCTCCATTCTCCATCCCTGGCTCACAGCCAATACAGAGAAGTCTCTACACTTAAGATGGAATCTCCCACTTAAAGGCGCCCTCTGAGAGATTCTAAAGATTTCCAAATAATGAAGCACGTCAGACTGATTCCACCTCCCCCTTGACCAGACAAGCTGTTTATCAGATGAAGGTGATGTAGTGATGTTAACACCTCATGTGGATTGGAGAGCAGCACTTAATCGAGTCACAAGATCTGTCAGAAAAGGTTGAAAGATGCAGAGAAATGGCATAAGTGCCTGTTACAGAACAGAAAGCCAAACACACTCAATAAAAACAATTGTTTTCCTATGTAAAAGTGGGGTAGTGGTAAAAGTAAATGGCTGCTAACCAGAAGGTTGGAGGTTTGAACCCACCAGCCACTCAGTGGGAGACAGATGAGCAGTCTGCCTCCGTGAAGATTTACAGCCTTGGAAACCCTATGGGGGCAATTCTACTCTGTCCTAGAGGGTCCCTATGAGTGGGAATTGACTCCAGATGGTGGGATTTTTTTTTTTTTTTTTTAAGTAATATTGAGTGGAGCCTTTCTGGATTGCATTTGGCTTCTGAATATTACCTTTATAAAGGAAGAGGATGTCTGAGAAGGATACACAGAAGCAGCATGCAAAGCGGAGCCCAGATTTAGGTTCAAACCCTGACTTGCTACTTGCTGGTGGGTGACCTTGGATAAGACGAATCTCAGCTCAGCGTCAGGTTCCTCACCTGGGAAGTGGGATCCAGTGTCCCTTTAGAGAGGAAGGAGGGTCAAACAAATGTGCAGATATGCAAGCACCTAGCACTTCCCAGGAGCTCTGGTGGTGTAGTGCCTAAGGCACTTGACTACTAACCAGGAGGCTGGTGGTTCAAAGCCACCAGCAACTCCTCAGAAGGTTGGACAATCTGCTTCTGTAGTGATACTGCCTCGGAAACCCAAGGAGGGGTCGCTATGAGTCAGGTCTGACTTGACGTCACGTAACAACATAGCAACAAGTGTCTTCCCAGAACCCTAGGGTCACTACACAAATGTTGGTTTCCTTATATTCTATTTCTAAAAAATCTTTTTAAATGGCCTGTTTCCAAGTTCTCTGCAACTGGGCATGATGTAATCACTTTGCTCTAAGTTTAAAGGACAATGGGACATGCAAGGAAGAAAAAAGAAAAGTTGATGATCAAATTCACCCTGACAGCCCAATGTGTTCATCGTTCCACAGCACTGGTTACTCGGCAAGGATTCATCGCACTTGTGTAAATGACATTTGTGCATGAGTGTATTTTCACAAGTACTACTACAGTAAGCCTGACTCAAGTAAAATACCTGGGGTAATATTTAAATATATCATATTTATGATCCCTTTGGAAAATTTATCAATACCCAGAAAGCAACATATACATTTATTTACCCCTGGAACCAGCGATTCTACTAATAGGAATCTGCCCCAGAATTAAGGAGCTCTGGTGGTGTAGTAGTTAAGGTATTTGGCTGCTAACCAAAAGGTCAGTGGTTTGAACCCACCAGCAGCTCTGTGGAAGAGAGAAGAAGCAATCTACTTCTGTAAAGATGTACAGCCTTGGCAATTCAATGGGAGTTGGATCAAATCAGTGGTAATGAGTTTGGTTTGGTTTGAGCCCTGGAGATACTCTTCTGTGGTAGAATAATAATGCCTCAGCCTGGGAACATGGGCAATCTACTTCCATAGTGATACCACCTCAGAAACCCAAGGAGGGGTCTCTATGAGTCGGGTCCAACTCAACGGCAGTGTGTTTGGTTTTTTTCCATTTTACATGGCAAAAGAACTTTACAGATGTGATTCAGTTAAGGGCCTTGAGATGGGGAGATTATCTGGAATTACTTGGTTGGGTCCAATGTAATTATGCAGGTACTTAAAAGCAGAAGACGGAGGCAAAAGAGGTCGGGGTGATGCTATGTGAGAAGGTGTGATGCACTGGTGCTGCCTTTGAAGATGGAAGAGGGGGCCACAAGCCAAGGAGCATAGGTGACCTCCAGAGGCTAGAAAAAGCAAGGAAAACAAATTCTCCCCTAGAGCCTCCAAAAAGAAATGCAGCCTTGACAAAACTTTGATTCCAGCCCAGTGAGACCCTGTCGGACTTCTAACCCATAGAACTATAAGAAAATGAACATGTGTTGTTTTATGCTACTGAATTTGTGATAATTTCTTACAGCAGCAATAGCCACAAATATGACACAGCATATGCAAAAGGTGATCACTGCAGTTCTATCTGAGACAGCTAAAGATCAGAAGGGCTCTGGCGGCACAGTGGTGAAAGCATTTGGCTGCTAAGCAAAAGGTTGGCAGTTCGAATCCACCAACCCACCAGCCACCCTGTGGGAGAAAGATGAGACCCAAATGCTCTTCCATAAGGAACGAGTTAAAAAAACACAATAGCATACTTTGCACCTATAAAAAAAGAGTGAGGGAGATCTCATAACTAGTGTAGGTTGACCTTTGGGATACATTTTCAAGTGAAAAAAAACAAACAAACAAGATATAGAACGTGTTTTTATTTTGTGAAGGAAAACAGGGTAAGGATAGAAGTAATGAATTAAATGGTTATGCATGGGTGTGGGATGCAGGAACTAGAAAGGATGTAAGAACTCTTGGAGAAAATATTTTGTATGTATTATTCTGACCTCTGAACCATTTAATATCTTGAATATATAAAAAATAAAATTAAATTTAAAAATAATTTTAAATAAAAGTCTAACACTTAAGTTTAATCTATTTCGACCTATGCCCTATATTCCAAAATCTTTCCTAGGCTTTCGCTTTGCTCCTAATGGAACTCAATCCCAGTGCAAAACAAACACCTGGGATCAAGAAGCTGCTTTCTGACAGACCTGTCAAAATCATAGCTTGCTCGTAGGTTAAGACTGACCATTTCTATTGGTTGTACTGTTTCTTAAATCATATTCTACCAGTTACAGACCTGACTGACAGGCTATAGGATCACGATACCAGAATTGCGCAGCAAATAATTAAAACCACCACCAAGTCTATAAAGTTGGTAGCAGCGCCATCTGGTGGGGAAAGTCTAATACTAGAATATTTAAATTTCTGTGCTCTTTCACACTGAAAATCTATTACATGTGAGGGAAAAGCCATCATAAATGAGTGGTAGAGAGACTTTATTAATCTCTGCGTGAAACTGAACCTGTTCTTAACACAAGACATCGGTGAAGTAAATATTTAAAAATCATTCAGCTTACACAAAATCCTTACTGAATCTTATATAAGAAGCAATTTTGACAAAAATTTATTTTAGTGTGAATTATGGACATGCCAAATTTATTTTCATAGTTTCTAAAATGCATTTGATAAAAATAAATAAATACAGGTAGTTTCAGTTTAGAAAAATCCAGGATGTTGAGATGACTGATTAGCCTGCTTTAATTATCTAGATTCCCACAGGTAAGGTGATAGAAGGTACCAGCACATCCTGATAGGGTCTCATGTCATTGGATAAAAGTCATTGCATTTGTTTTCCATTGCTCATTTATGAGTACTGACAAAGGAATAAAATTGTTTCTGTGCCCAGCTTTATAAAAAATAGATTTATCTCTTTCTTTTAAGATAATGCCTACTTACAGACTAAATTGAAATACAGAATGGAGGCAATTAGCTACTCAGCCAATTTGGGGTAAAAATAACTTTGGTTTAAAGTTTTTAAATAATTATCACAAAAACACTATTTGGAGAATTGCTCCAATAGTTCCTACACCCAAGTTGTTGTTAGACAAATCAATTCAAAAGACATTTGTTGAGCTCACCCAGACACCTGGAGGAATTCCAGAGATGACTAAGAGCATGGCTGTTGTTGTTGTTGTTGTTGTTGTGTGCCATCGAGTCGGACCCGACTCATAGCGACCCCTCCTTGGGTTTCCGAGGCAGTATCACTACGGAAGTAGATTGCCCCATCTTCCTTCCGAGGAGTGGCTG